ACAGGACTCCTCCTCTCCATGGCCCGTCTGCCCAAGAAGAAAGACTACAAAAGGGAAGGCAAGGGGGAGTCCAGACTAAGACAAGGGTCCAGTCTGAAAAGGAATATAATGGGAACTCTAAACCACAGAAACTTTGAAAACTGTCTGCAACAGTATTTAGAGTGAGAAATACCATTTTTAACCAATTTCTTTAGTGAAACTAGTTTAGTTTGCATGTTTGATTTCGTTTGCTTAGTAATCTGCTTTGTTCTGTTTGTTACCCCTTTTACCACTTAAAATCTGCCTCTTATATTTTGTTTATTATTGAACCAACTTTCTGGAATTTCTAACTGGGGGGGGGGGGCAAGAAATGTGCACACCTCTCTCCACATTGAGGGTGGGGGAAAATTTCATAATATATCTTTAGATCTGCACTCCAAGGCAGGTGGACATCTGAGTGCGGGAGCAAGTCCCTGAAGTTGAGTTTTCCCAGAGCTGATCTGCAGCTGAGTGTGGCCATGCCTGTGTTTTTGTTAGAGGAGGTTTTAAGAGCCTGGTTCAGCAAAACAGGTTAAAAGGGGCCCACGCTGGCAGAACAGGTAGACTCAGTGGTATCTCAGCACATCAGGTGGCTCCCCAAGGAGTCCAACCCGTCACAGTGGTAACATTCGGGGTCATCCCCGAATGGGGTATCTTTTGGCCCTAAACCACTGGCTATGGGTCTCTCCCAAAATATCCAAATAATTCAAGATAGCGGACTTTTCACTTGCTTGTAATCCCTTGCCTGTTCGGTGTCCAGATTACGGTAGGCAGCCTGTGCCTGACCGATGAGGTATGGGATTAAGATAAGAGCCCATTGTTCTGGGAGTGACTGGGCTGTCAGTGCTACCCTCTCAAATGTGACTAAAAAGGCTGTAGGGTCATCTTCTGGTCCCATCTTGGTGAGCTTCACTGGTACTGGCAGTGGGACCCCTTAAGTGGAAGCATGACCCCACCCCATTCCTCCCTGCAGGCATAGGGTTGGTACTATCTGCTGTAGCATTTCCTTTTGGAACTCCTGTTGCTGGATCATCATGATCAGGGTACTTCTACGCAAAGTGAGGCAGCCCACAGCAGCAAATATCAGTGCCCAGCCTAAAGCACATGGGGCTTGCACTACTGCACTAAAAGTAGCTGATAGATGTTGTGGCTGGGTCTGGAGCTCAGGCTCTGAAGCCAGGCTTGAAGGCTTGCTGTGTAGACAGACCCATAGTGTCAGGTACTAGAACCCTGTCTAGAAATGCAGACCTATTTTGACAACTGTCCTTAGCCAGCCATCTTAGCTCAAAAAAAAAAAAAGAATGTAAAAGGGGCTGGACTCTGAGGGAGATGAAATTCAAGGTAAGGACATAGAAATCTGTCTTGGAGATCTATAGGAACAGCTAAATTCAGGAGGAAGCTTAGCACTTAGTGATTTATGTTTTGTTGCTAAGAACAGGGCTGGCTCCAGGCATCAGCTTGCCAAGCAGGTGCTTGGGGCAGCTACTCCAGAGAGGGGCGGCACGTCCAGCTATTCGGCGGACGGTCCCTCACTCCCACTCGGAGCGAAGGACCTCCCACTGAATTGCCACCGCAGATCGCGACTTTTTTTTTTTTTTGGTGCCGCTTGGGGCGGCAAAAACCCTGGAGCCGGCCCTGGCTAAGAATAAAGGAAAACCCCTGAAAAAGGATAAGGTTTGGATGCTGACCCTGCATGTGCATGTGCTGTGTTGAGAGCCAATTAAATATTGTTTGTTAATGGGATAAAAACAAGATGTCAAGAGAACACTGAGATTGTATAGTTATGCACTCAAAAGTCAAGAAATGACAAAGTTAGGGCTGCACAAAAACAAACTCTGCCCCTCGTGCCTAGCTTACAATAAAGCCTTTAGTTATATGATCTCTGGCTATTTGCTGTTTAAGGGCTTGATCCAGTACCAATGAAATCAAGGGGAGTTCTTCGACAGACTAAAATGGGAGTAGGACTGAGTCTTACCTCTTGGTTCTCCCTAGCCCCTTTTCTATTGGCTTCAGCAGGCCTCATTCCTGCAAAGACTTGCATATATACTTAACTTTAAGCATGTGAATAGTCTTGTTGAGTTTGTTGGGACTACTTGTATGCTAAAAAGGATGTGTTTAAGTGTTTGCAAGACTGGACCCTAGGCCTGGATTTCCATTTCCTGAAGCATGTGTGTTTGGCATGAATAACAGCTTAATCCTTGCTATTTAACCAATAGTGGTTAAGTATGTGTAGGCATGGACATGGGATGGGTGGGGGAAAGACTTCCTTGCAGTCCTTTTTTTGGGGTATTCATGTTTTCTATGACTATGGTATTGTTGGCTCTACATTTATGTGATTTGCTTGTTTTTAATTCCCTTTACATTTTGTTACAAAATTAAAAGACAAAGAGTTTCTATTACATATTCATTGTAATACTCTGCAGGCTTTTAATTATTTATTGACACTCAGTTACTATGTATTTAAGAAATCACTGTAATAAAATAAATCAGAATGATAAATAATTTCAATATCAAATTTATCCTTGAATAATTTGCTTTCTAGGAAACAGAAAAGATAATTACTAACAAAGAACTCAATCCAAAACCAACTGAAATCAATAAAAACATTTAGACTGTATTCACTGAATGATTTGGACATAAAGTCCTTTTAAAATAAACCACTATTGAGTACAGGTATGTATACCTCACCTAGATTTAGGTTCCCAGTGTAAGTATTTAGTATTAAACAATATATTTGTTTGGTTCAATAGGTAGCAATTTATATAAGCCTACTTACTTATTTCTGTGTTTAAATTAGGCACAACATGAACATTAAGTATGTAACAGACTTCACTGACTGGGAGCATGACTTGGCTTCAAAATGCCACTTGTTAGTACTATTAGGTCTTTTGGCAAATATAACTTTTAAATTAATCCTGCTTTATCAGTTTTCTTGAAGGAAAAAAATGTAAATAAACCAATCAAATGTTATGACAGATCCATTGCTGATACCTTTTCACTCTTCTTCCTGATTACTCAGTCTACATTACAGCAATTGCACATACCTTGAGCTTTTTGACATTGGTGCAGGGATCATTGGAGAAACTCTCAGTATCTGAAATTTCGATGTCTTCACCATACAGAACACCAGTCAGATCGTTCCTCACCTGTCACAGAATGAGAAAAAGGTAAAATGAATAAAGGAACCCAAAGAGGAGGGAGCAGATGGACTCTCTTGGATCACCATAAGAAGATTCAAACACATAAAGGGTGATATGTGCGCCAATTTTCTTTTTTCCCTCTAGAATGAGACTGTCACAGTTCAGGGCAACTGCACCTGTATTTCCCTCATCATAGTCCAGCAAGGGCACCCACACTCAGGCCTCCAGCTTACCTGCCATCACCTGTATTGGCAGATACCTGTGCCTCTTTCCCTCCTGAATGGGGCTTTTCCATATTGCACACTTCCCTGCCTACACTGTGAATTCCCCAGCAAGACAGACTTTCTAAACAGGACTGCTTTGTCTTCTCCTCAAAGACTATAAATCGTGTCATTGCCACAATGAAGGTACCACACAGCTCTTTCTAAGCAAGCACATTTATTCTTAAGGTGAAAGCATTGCAGAGAAAACATATCAGAAACAATAAAAGAACCTATATGGATGCTAAAAAGTTACCGGAGATCACCTCAACTCTAGAAAGGACTCTGGCAGGAGATCAGTCCTTCAAACCCCACCAAGAAGTTTTTCTGTGATCACAAGTTCATAAGAGCTTTCATTCAGAACAAGCAGCCCCATGAATTTGCGAGCCACTGCTTTATCCAGTTTGGGCCTTGGATCTTGTCCTCTTGTAACAGGTGATCAGCAGACAATGGGTTTCTCCTCAGAATGTAGCTACAAAGGTTGGGTCCAGAGATGAGAAGTTGCCATCCCCTTCTCTCAAGGATTTCCTGGGAAACCCAGTCAGTCAACTAAAGGTTCATTCTTATCTGGATATTGTTTAAGAGTCTTTTGAAGCTCAGAAAACCTACCATCATTTACATTAGCCTTGTCTCCTCCCTAGTGATGTTTCATACAACTCCACAATACTCCATAAAAATTGGCATTTTAAGACAGTGAACTCCTAAAATGCTGAAACTTAATTCAATAAGGTTTAATTTAATTCAGTGAGGTTTGTCCAGGATATTACAGGAAATTGTCATATCTGTCACAGTGACCAAAGGATTGTTCCATATCTATATATGCACTGTAGATTCATAGCTTTAATTTGAGCAATAAAATGATCATGGCCAACTTCCTACTTTGCATAATCATAGCTGACTGATTATTAACATCAGTGAAATTTGACAAGAATTCATAGGCTATATTCTCTCCTGCAGCCAAAGATTCACTTGATGCCAGAGAGTGGTGGGTGGCAGTAAAATCAGGGAACCAGTTATGGCTCCTTGACTCTAAGAGTTGGTCTACACTAGCATCAGCCCCAACATGAGTTAAATCACCGTAATTTATGCTAGTGGAGGACTGGCATAGCATACTGGAGTTCCACAGGGCACGAAAGGAGCCGGGTGCCCTGCAGTATGCCTCCTATGCTGGGAAAGTAGATGAAGTGGTTAGCACAGGAGCTGGGTCCACCAGCTTTACACCTACCAGCTGAGAGTTCTCTGACTCTCTCTTCTCAGGAGAACTCTCAGCTGTCCAGTTATGGCCAGATTCTGGCCCCTTTGTGCTGCTTAAGCAGTGCAAAGGGTCTGGATCACAACTGAGAATCTGGCCCATAACATTTCAGATTCTTTTCTATAAAAATAACTATTTTGAGGGTGCTTGTTTTTGTTTTTTTACATCTTGCCAGCCCACTGCAAAGAATGGTGCTTCAGGTTACAGTTTCTGGAACACGGCGAAGAATCTAGCTGGACAGACTATGGTTGCAGTCTGAAGTAAATTGGGACTCACCTGTGATTTTACTTTAATAAAACTGTGATAAAATCATTGCCCTGCTGATGGTCTGTCTTCATTCACTTGCAACAATGGGTCAGAAATAGTAGGAACAATTCATTGTTATAAGTGACAAATCTTATACACATGGTCACCTATCAGAAGTCTCACACTCAAGCTGTGACAGATCGGAAAGAAATGTATATTGTACCTCACTTAACAGTGTTACAATTCTGTATCTTATATTAGCATTCTCTGCATAATTATTACAGTTAATTACATACATTTCCTTTTTAATCAACTTCACTTCTTGAAAAGAAAAGCAGACAACCTTCATGAACAAAAAACTGGGTCCAGAAAGAGCTGGCAGCACATTATGGTTAGTGGGAATTAGTAACAACCCTTCCGCAGTAGACTTCTTCTCCATGGGCATTAAATCCACCATAAAGCCTATTTTATTAGAAGATGTTTTAGCAGCCCAGGAGGAAGATCCACCTATTATTAATCTTTCTATATTATAAGTCCGTGGGGCTGAAGCCTAATAACAGAGCAAAACCAGGAGGATGTGGTAAGAAATCAGCCCTCATGGGTGAACGGCATTGCTTCCATTTAGGTAAAGATGGAATACTTTATTGAAAAACCAAGCAAAAAACAACCACCACCACCACCACCTACTGGCATCACCTGAAAAATGCAAAAAGCAAGAATATCAAGAAGAGATGGAACAACTAGGAACAGAACAAATACCGAATTTTGTGAGATCATTTATATTGACCATAAATGAAAAGGGATATTAAACATGTCACCAAAGACTGAATGAAAGTAGAATCTGATGAAGTTCAACAAAGACAAGTGCAGAGTCCTGCACTTAGGACGGAAGACTCCCATGCACTGCTACAGACTAGGGACCGAATGGCTAGGCAGCAGTTCTGCAGAAAAGGACCTAGGGGTTGCAGTGGATGAGAAGCTGGATATGAGTTGACAATGTGCTCTTGTTGTCAAGAAGGCCAACGGCATTTTGGGCTGTATAAGTAGGGGCATTGCCAGCAGATCGACAGATGTGATCGTTCCCCTCTATTCAACATTGGTGAGGCCTCATCTGGAGTACTGTGTCCAGTTTTGGGCCCCACACTACAAGAAGGATGTGGAAAAATGGGAAACAGTCCTGCGGAGGGCAACAAAATGATTAGGGTCTGGAGCATATGACTTATGAGGAGAGGCTGAGGGAACTGGGATTGTTTAGTCTGCAGAAGGGAAGAGTGAAGGGGGGGGGATTTGATAGCTGCTTTCAACTACCTGAAAGGGGGTTCCAAAGAGGATGGATCTAGACTATTCTCAGTGGTACCAGATGACAGGACAAGGAGTAATGGTCTCAAGTTGCAGTGTCGGAGGTTTAGATTGGATATTAGGAACAACTTTTTCACTAGGAGGGTGGTGAAGCATTGGAATGGGTTACCTAGGGAGGTGATGGAATCTCCTTCCTTAGAGGTTAAGGTCAGGCTTGATAAAGCCCTGGCTGGGATGATTTAGTTGGGGATTGGTCCTGCTTTGAGCAGGGGGTTGGACTAGAGGACCTCCTCAGGTCCCTTCCAACCCTGATATTCTAGGATTCTAGAGCAAAAGAAATCTCACTAACGTACACAACCACCAGTAACTAATGTAGTGAAACAGAACCTGCTGAACTAGTATTAGTTGAGTTCTTGCATCTGGAAACAAGCAAAAAGAGAGCAGTAATACTGTCATAGTGGGTCACTTTGCTAGGTTTGTCCAAGCCTATCCTACCACTACCAAGTCAAGCAAGACTGTGGCAGACAAGTTCTTTGGTGACTTTGTTTAAGCATTAACAACATCTTTGGCAGTCTCTTCTGTGCATTTAGTTATATATCTTTTCATATCAAGTGTCATGCTGGTCAAAGCACTTACCTGCACATTAGAGTTTTCCAGACAATATGTAACTCTGGAGTTCAAGTTAGCTAATATTGCAACCCACCGGTCTGCTGTGGTATTGAATCTTGAAGAGGTAAAAACATTGGTTGACAGGTTATTACTATAAACCTTCAGAGGTAGTCACAAAATATGTTGGTTTCAGACTGTTTCATAGCTAGAAACCCCAGCTTCTGTCAGTGAAGGTGATAATTCTTCTTGGCTGTAATGTTCTTGACACATAACCAATGACGCATAGTTTATTTTCTTGATATTGGTATAGGACTGCACCTACTCCCTTACTGGAAGCATCCACGGGGGTCAAAGGGTAAGGTAAAATCAGGGTATGCTATTATTGATAGCTGTACCAGACAGTCAATCAGCTGATTTAAAACATTTAATGTTGCTCAGTCCATTTAACCAGCTAGTTGGAGGGTATTTGTCCAGACACCTTTCCTTTTCCTTTGTGTCTTCTTCTTCTGCTTATGTGTCTACTTTTCAGGGTGCTTTTTGTCAGATCCCAATGGAACAGACAAAAAGTCATACACTGGGTTTGTTCAAGAAATGTCTTGAATATACCTCGGATAGGTACAAAACTACAGATGCTTAAGAAGTTCCCCTATGGTAGGGCATGTACAACTACTTTGTCCACTGAATCCATCTTATAACTTTCAGTGTACACCACCATTCCCATATAATGTACCTTACTCTTAAAGAGGTTAGAATTAGACGCCTTCAGCTTAATTCCATGTTTTTGTAACCATTGCTCTCCTTACATTTTTCTGTTTTTCAAATGTGCCATTGCACACAAGGATATTCTTCAGCTATGCAATATGAACCTCACCCCTAATCTTAGCAAGGTACTCTTTCCTACACCTCTGAAAGTCAGCAGATAGTTTTGTTAAGTCAACTGGAATGCTACCAATTCATACAGACCTTAAGGTCTTATTACCTCACAGCCCTTCATAACTTTTTTAGCCATGTGATGGAGTGTTCGCCTCAGGGAAGGGGTTAAAAATCAGCCGAGGGAGGCAGTGTGGGGAGCAGCCAGTCAGAGAAAGACTGCAAAGAGCAGGTATCACCTTGGCCAGAGCGGTTGCTGGCAGAGACCAAGGAAGTAAGAGGGAGCTCCTGGCTGGCTGCTGGGATATGCTGGCTGGAGGCCCTGAGAGGATGATGAAGAATGTGGCCCAGGGAAGTGGCCCAGGGAATTGAAGCAGCTTTGGTGGAGACATTAAGGAGAGGCAGCAGGAGACTGCTATCAACAGAGTCCCTGGGCTGCGACCTGGAGTAGTGGGCAGGCCCAGGTTCCC